ATTTGTCCAATTTATAGTTTCTCAACAATCTTATTTTTCGAAGTAAAATTTTTTAAAAATGTTAATCGTTAAAAAAATTTTGGTACGGGAAGTTCCAGCAATTTGCCTTAAGACACGATGCCTTAATTGCCTTAAGACAGAATTCCACTTACAGCTAGTTCATTATTGAAACTAACGCGTTCTCGCTTAATATTAATTATATGTTGTTAATCATTTATAGTTTTTAAGTAATGTGCATCATGTATTAGCTTTGTATATTGTTACTCGCGTTAGTATTCTAATTAACTTAAAAGGTTAATTGTCAGCAAACGTTAGATTTATTATAAAGCTCTAATTAATAGATGTAACCAGGACTTAGCAAATATTATAGAACTGTAAAAGTGCTAAGTGGTTTGATAAATCTTCGACAAATTGACGTCGAAGATCATCCATGATGCTTGCGTCACGTCAGAAGTTCAAATTTGTTAATAGTTTGTTTTTCTTGACACTTTTTTTAATAATAACATAATAGTACCATGTGATAAGTCAATCTGTCATGTTTAAAATTTCAAAAATAACAAATTTGCCTCAATCCGTATCTCTGAAAAAGCTAGACCTGCCTTGATCAAAAAAACTAATAATGCTGCATCAATAAGAATCGAATGCTTTCTTAATCATTCAAATCTGTTCAACCGTGTTCTCGAAATCGTCAACGACAAATTGTATCCGCACATACATGCAACACACACACACACACGTACACACACACATAATCAATTTTTTAACTTTCCGTATGGTAAGTTATTGTAATCGTCCAAAAATCGAAATTGAAAATTTTTACATTTCTTCACGTTTTGAAGGTTTCTGAACATTTAGGCATACCTCAGAAAAAATGGATGTATGTGTGTGTGTATGTTACAATACAATACAATACAATTTTTCGTCCACGTTTTCTGGTGCACAGATCAACCAAAGGTTCAAAAAACATTCGATTCCTATTGATACGGAGATGTGCTGATTAGTTTTTGGCAAACGCAGGTCCAGCCGTTACGGAGATACAAAGCAAAGAGTGCAGAAGATATAAATCGAGTTTTGAGAAAACGGCGTATCTAAAAAACATTCAATTCGTAATGATTGTGAGAAGAGGTGATTAGTTTTTGGCAAAAACAGGTCCAGCCATTTCGAAGATATAGAGCAAAATATGGCAGTTTTTGAAAGAACTAAGCGTCCGATTTGAATGATCCAAAGAACTTTCTGCTTGTTTTAACAAAATAATTGCTTTTGGAAAAAAAAATTCGGAAATTTTTTTTTCAATTTATTTTATTAAATTTTTTTTGTATATCGAAAATAATTCAGATTTTAATTTCAATTATGACTAAAGTTCTAATATACTTTAAACAATAATTTCAACTTAGCATTTCAGTTTCTTTGCAATTATTTGCTGTATTTATAATAAACTATTTGAAAACATTTAATATTCCTCGAACATTTCGTTACAGTACGGGAAGTTCAGCAATTTGCCTTAAGGCACGATGCCATATACCACTAGTTTTTGTAGGGGATTCCAAAATGTTCAGAAAACCTTAAAACGTAAAAATATATAAAAATTTTCATAAGCGATTTTTCCAATCCACTTGTTGCTTCGCTGCTTCTTGCGCCCAAATTTAAAAGACTTAAAAAATTATGGCCTATTAACTTGATCGAATGCGTTGTATCTAATAGTAATTACCCACTGTGGTAAATACTATACATAATTATATGTCAATAATGTAAATCAAAATAATTTATAGAAGTTATTTATGTTCTGATGATTATTAATAAAAGAGAGAGAAAAATCGATTTTATTGTGATTACTATAACTTAACTACGTTAACTCAACCATTGCTAGTTTCTTAGATATTTCGCTTATGAATTATACATGACAATATTTTTGTCATATACGCAATGCGCAGTTGAAAATAAGTTGGTTCAATGACCTGAATCTATTGCAAACTGATCATTCTCTCTAGAATGTTACTATTTCCAAAAAAATACAATGCAATTTTCACAAATCGCTAAAAAAGCATTAGAGGAAACAATTCTTGACTTACAACTTTTATGTTTCACACATTAAAGTACTGGATTTAGAGACGTTTTTTTTTAATTATAATTTTATTCTGCAATCTGTATATATAATTACATTAAGCAGAGAATGATGACAAGTTGTTTACAAATTTGTAAATACCCCACCCCCCCCAGTGGCGTATCTACTAGAGCTAATATAATAAAAAAACTAAAAACAAAAGGAAAAAACAATAAAATGTAGTTAAATGAAAGTATTATAGTTAATTAAACTATATTAGGTCCCCAAATGTTTTTCTTTTAAGTCTGGTCGGCTGGCTTTCCTAGTATAAACGGCATGCTAGTTGGTTAGAATGGACGTCTATTCTGCTCTTATAATTAATGGCAACCATTGACTTATGTTCTTGAATTGTAGGTATGTCTTTGTGGAGGATTCATGTTGACGTGTAGCGAAGAGCGTTTGATATTTGCCGCACGTTGTATTATGCTTAAATTGTTCTTTTAGCAGTACCCCAAAGTTGAAAACCGTAGGTCCACACGGGTTTCATCACCGCCTTATATATAAGTAATTTGTTGTATGTTGATAATTCGGATTTTCTGTTTAAGAACCAATAATAATTTTAGAAAATTAGATCTATCTGTTGTCTTTTGTTCTTTATGTATATTTTCCAGTTCAGTTTCCTGTCTATGTGAATGACGAGATACTTTATTGATTCTTTGAGCGGAAATATAGAGACTTAACAATGAAATTGGTGTTTAATTTTAGCATTCCTATTTATGGTCTGTTTTTTCAAAATTTATTTAATGCAATACTTAAGCTAAAATAAAGATTTTATATTAGGTTGTAACTTACTAAGCTTTTTCTTTTTGTCAATAAATTATAGCAAATTTTTGTACATATGATTACATTTGGTTCTCCATAAAGCCATTTCTTAATGAATCTACTTAGCTAGTTGACATTTTGTTAACTCGGAACGAAAATATATCTATATTTAATATATATTTTTTGTTAAATCTTTTTTAGTTAGTAGGTTGGCAACTAAGTAAGTGCGCATCTTTTTTTAGAAAATCAAGGACAATTTTTGCGTGGAATTAAATAACTTTGCTCTGTATACCATTTTGATCGATGACCTTTTGTAATTTTCCAAGAAGGATCATTATCCCAAGTTTATAAAACTTCTAGTTTCTATTAGCAAAAACTGAATTATGTATAATTTGACACCATCATGATTTTTTTTAATTCAAGGGTTTTAAACAGATGGTTTGTAGTCAGGAATATTTGGTGGATGTGGAGAAAAATTTCAACCCACCCCCAATAATTTTTAAACATAACCAAATTTTTCTATTAGCCGAATCGATTATTGCTTTAATTAGGTAACTGGACGATCAGAGCAGCATTGAGTGGAAAGTCACCAGAATGACATTTTCAAAATCAATTTTAACATGTTGTTTTTTTTAAGGCTTCGACACCATAAACAGCATCTATTCTTCGGGAGGATCGTTTTACCCTTTGCAGAAATAAAAATGCAAAATTTGACTAAAATGTTTGTTTTGATATTCCATCTTTCAACAAACGCTAAACGACAACTACATAACCGATCAAAAAAGTATTTTTACTAATCTACAGCTAAATTTCTCACTATACAATAAAAAAAGTGTTTTACATGTAGACTACTTCAACAAACCCAAAGAATCATTTGAAGCAATCTAAGAGTAAAAACTGCACTTAGTTGCCAACCTTATACTATTTAATGATAAATTGAAAATTAGTTTGTTTCAAATTAATTCCATCTTTAGCCATAGTTATTGACAGTGAGTAAAAAACTCATGTCATATTTACGATTATTCCGCGTTTAAAGCCTTGTATAAAACTCTGTTCGCATAAAGCTTGGCAATTAACTTTAGTATTAAATATCACTTCTCTTGTGCACATTTCAAGACGAGTCTTGTCACAGACCTTAAAATAAAGCACAAGCAGTCAGAAACTTAATTTACCTAATTTTTTGGTAATTTTCATAATTGGAATATAGAAGTTTAAAATAATTAGTGAAGGACTATTCGAACCTAAAGAATTTTTGCATTGCGCAACATTATTTTTCATAATGTTTAGTTTTATATAAGCAGTTTATCGCATATATCATTTTCAGATTATAATGGGTCGTTGTAATTTTATTATAAAGTAACGAGAAATATTCAAATTCAAGCTATTCTTTTTTAAAAGTCAGGTCAACCCGACAGAAAAAACAAACTCCGGCACCAGAAAAGCAAGGTTGAATACTAAGACTGTACCGGCCAAACCGGACACCTTACTATGAGTTAAATCTAAGAAGCATTTTTTTTGTTAAATGTTTTACCGATACTATACAACATTACATTAAAATCACCAAAATTTTCAAATTGCCCCCCTGAATTTACAAATTGCCGTCCGATGGGGCGTGGCGCCCCACGTTGGGAAACACTGATTTAGCGTATATTGATAAGTGAAATAAAATAAGTAAGTAAATAAGTAAGTAAATAAGTAAAACGTAAAACAACACTAGAAATTAATGGGGCGATTCTGCCGCACAACAGACCAATGTTATGGCAAGGCCATGTTACGCTCCAACTTCCATACATTATGCCACTGAATCATACTGAATACTGTTAAAATGCCATGTATTGATGTTCATTCAGGCATTTACACATAAACTACAACGTCATTCGTATGTTATGAAGCTGTGTCAGAAAGACCCTGTTGTCTAAGATCGTTTTATTGACATTTGTGCAGTTTCTATGGTTAGGTTTTCTATCTGACAACCTGAGAAAAATGCCTGAAATGCCCAGCAATCACATGGCTTTTGTCAATATTTAGTATGGAAAGTTCTTAATAACAGAGCCTTGCCATAAGATTGGTCTGTTGTGCGACATAATCGGTCCATAAATTTCTGTAAATAAAAAGAATTCATTTTGTTTAAACTTACGAGTCAAGTGTTTCTTCGTTGATGTCCTGCTTTTTCAAATTGATGACGTCTTGGAAGCTCCTGGCATACCAGGCGCTGACCAGGTCAACGCTGGGCATACTCAGCAGTCTCTCCGGCAGGAGGGCGATCTCCTTCATTTATGTTCGCCAGCCGCACTGGCAATTCCTTGCGCAGAAAAAAAAAGGATTTTGCGCTCGCACGCACTAACCCTAACAAGATAAAATATGATAAGTATGAAAATAGAT